TTAGGTTCTTTAATTCTGCCACTCCTATCTAACGTATACTAAAGGTGCACCGGTGCCGCAGGTCATATTGTTCGACATGAGCCGCTCGAATCAATCGTACAATATGCTCAACAGGCTGCATAATAAAGTAGGTTATTCACATAATAATAATAATAATGATGATGATGATAATGATAGAAATAAAATACACATCACTCATCCGTGTTAGCTCGTTGGTAAAGTATGAACATGGGGGCGTTTTCCCAGTTCGTCTGTTGAACGTGCCGAGGTCAAACATGGCGTCATTCTGACCGGCAAATCACCACTTACGATGTAATGGATCATTATATTTGACATAAACTTGTTCATCTGACTTTTCAAACCTGTACCGATTCCATTCTGAAGTGATATTTGAACCTTTCTTGGCTACGAGCTCAGTCCTCGGCGAAGTGCTGCCGGTTTCTGTTTAATCTGAGCGCGCAGTGTTTGAAGGTAACGCAGGCGTAAGGAGGAGTTTATCAGGTTAAGAAAGCTGTGTTTTTCCTTTGCGTTGGTTTAAACTTTTACATAATATTTATGGATTTAATAAAAAAAATTTATTTAAAATGAATCACGATTAATTCAGTTAATTCGACTTAATGTTTTAACACGATTTTCAAGATATTCTAATCGAGATTGTCCATGTTTTATATACATATATTCGATTCGAAGATCTTGAAGATCGTGTTAAAACATTAAGTCGAATTAACTGAATTAATCGTGATTAATAATCGTAATTAACAGCTTCAGACACGCCCCCTCGAGAGTCACACCAGTGAAAGCTTAGTCAGGTTTAACTTTGTTATATTCTAACGTACAGCTTTTGTTTCGTTACATGCTACGAAGAGGCTGCATGGATCACACAAACAGCGTCATTATTACGTTTCGGTTCTTATACTTTTAAAATGTATTGTATTGAAAATGTATCAGGTTGAGATGCCACCATATCATGTGGCAGCACAGCTGAATTCTGGGTATCGTTAGACTCCTAATATAAACCTATTGCTTTTCCTTCACTTCTCCAATACACATTATGGGGAAAAAAAAATAACTTGAACTACCAACTAGAGCTGCACGATACTGAAGAAAAACGCGATATGCGATAACTTGTTAAATAATGCGATATGCTGTACTATAATGCTAAGTGTGTAAAAATCAATTTAAATTATATATATTTATACATTTAAATACTGAAATGTTTCATGTTCTTTTGAGGAAAAGAAAGCAATCTCTGCTGTCTGAATTGCCCTAAAACTTTTCTGAATTTTTCGTAACTTTTTGAAGTATTAAAATCATTCCTTTATCGCAAGCCCTTGCGATATGCATATCGCGATATTTCGATCATTTCGATATATTGTGCAGCCCTACCACCAACCACAGTCACCTGCGCTGTTCTAATGGGCTTAACGACCCTTAAATGCTTAAACATTGTTAAAGATGTCAAAAATAGTGACAGGTTCCCCTGAAAAGAAAGAAAAGAAAAGAAAAGAAAAGAAAAGAAAAAAAAAAAGCTTTGCATAATAAAAGCACAAAATGAGTCACCTGGGCTTCTCTGACTACTCTGAAAGCAGACCCAAGCAAATGTGCAGACTTCATTCTAGGAGAAACGCACGGGGAAGACGAGCTGCCTGAAACTGATTATGTTCAATTATGAATATATAAACATTGTTATATTGGCATATTGCACGTCAATCACAATAATCATGTTGACTCAAACATCGACTACACGATGTAAATTGTACTAAACCACAGTCTGCATTTTTCTGTGTTGCTGGGGGAAAAAAAAAAACGGGCGAAACAGATTGCTGTTGTTCTTCGGCTTCGCAGCTTGGAAAAGCTCAGGTATAATCCGTTCGCCAGAAATAAACTTCCTCTCAATTTCATAGCACCATTACATGTGTTTACTCGAAAACCATATCCCTTTAAACGCACAGCAGATGCGTGTGAAAGAACACAGGCGCTGCATTACTGTGAAAAGTTACACAGCACAAACTTTACTGATGAACTTTAATGATATAACTACCAAAGTTTGGATCGTGGGTTTAGGCTGTTTTGAAGATTCATTAAGTGGGGAGAGAAAAAAAATCAACTGCTGAGGCCTTGATATCAACTGATTTATAAACGAAAGACTTAAATGAATACATTTATTATTCAAACACACTAACATTTAGAGAAGCAAAATTCCCTTATATATATATATATATATATATATATAAATCAGAATAATTTCATTGATGATAGCTGTATAATTACTTTTGAACATGAGATTGTTCATTCTGAACACAGCCACATTTTTTTTTTTTTACATGGGTGTGTAGACTTTTTATATTCATTGCACATACACACACACACACACACACACACACACACACACACACACACATATATATATAATCTTATTTTTCCCCATCACCCCATTCCCATCATTCAGTGCCTGTATATGGTGATTCATTCCTCTTCAGTAACTGATTTATCTCCGTCGGGGTCATGGTTAAGCTGGAGATTACACTGGAAGCAGCAGATCTGAGGTATGTGGACCATCACACCCTTATGTGCTTGTTGAACATCTCAATCCAGATTTAGTCCCTTTGCTGTTATATTAACCTTCACTCTCCTGGGAAGCTTTCCACTCGATTTTGGAGCGTGGCTGTGGGGATTTGTGTTCATTCAGCTATAAGAGCATTAGTGAGGTCAGGTACTGATGTTGGTGAGGAGGTCTGGGGTGCAGTCGGTGTTCCAGTTCATCCCAAAGGTGTTCAGTGGTGGTTGAGGTCAGGGCTCTGTGCAGGACACTCGAGTTCTTCCACACCAACCTTCACACACCATGTCTTCATGGATCTTGCTTTGTGCACAGAGGCATCGTCATGCTGGAGCAGGTTTGGGCCTCTTAGTTCAAGTGAAGTGAAATCTCAATGCTACGGCATACAAAGACGTTCTAGACAATCATGTGCTTCCAACTTTGTGGCAATGGTTTGGGGAAGGACCACATATGGGTGTGATGGTAAGGTATCTGTATATTTTTGGCCATATAGTGTATATACAATATGGGGTATCGGTCACCACACACACACACACACACACACACCTCAGGGGCACTTTCTACATATGGCTTAAACATTACAAAACCCAGAAGTCAACAGTACTATCATGTCATTAGACAAGTAGGATGTCATATCACCTATTACAGAGTGGAATGTAACATCAGCTAGCTACAAAGACAGATACGAAATGGTTTGTCTATGAGCAACTCATGTCATCGTGTTGAGCGTTTCAGTTGGATTTTAGAACAATTTAGCGTTTACAGTTTGTAAATTCTTCATAAAATAAAAGCACAGACGCAGTCTTTTGTCTGTCTCATATGCAATCACTCTCATAAGTCAGACTATTTTGGTAAGCTGCCGTTAGATTTTTTTTTATTTATACAGTACGGATTAAAGGTTTGGACACGGCGTGGCACTGAAGGCATTAACACCACGCAACAAACACATTACACACTCACCAAGAAAAATGTCCGATGAATCAAAGCTATTTTATATTTTATATTCAAAACAGTACTCCTGGTGAAGCTTTGCACACTCTTGGCATTCTCTCAGCCAGCTTCGTGAGGAAGCTTTACCCAGGAGGCTTCTTAAATTTCTCCGATAGGCCAAGCACTTGGGTTCGAAATGAAAACAACTTGCTTGCAAAATAAAATCTATTTAACTCCAAGTAAAAACTACCAGTGGACAACACACTTTGAAACGATTCTAACCATAAGCCTGAAGGCAATGAAAAACAGATCCAATGTGTCCAAAGTTTTAACTGGTACTGCAGGATGAGTAACCTATTTAAATGAGAAATGACATGAATAAGATTCAGTATAGACTTGTTTTTTTTTTTTTATATATACACAAGTTGAGTCAGCTCATGGTTAAGCCTCTCTGTATAGAGCAGAATTCATTAGAATAGCTCATGTAGGCTTGTATATTATCCTCCATATGCAATATCACACTGCCACGATATCCATATTCTGATTATATTTGCAGAACTGCCAACCTTCACGTATTTTGTATAGGAGATTCGCAGTTTGGCATCAGAGTACATCACTCGTAAATATATTTCTTCCCCCCCCCCCAAATAAAATGCTTTTATCAGTCTCTATCTTCATCTGATATGTGAATCTGTAATGATTTGCGCAGGAGTTGTGAACTCGCCATTATAACCCGACATCGCCTGGAAACCCCGCCCCCTCCAATCTCACAGACTGGACTCACGTGGCGCCGCTTTGTGACGGCAAACTGATTGTTTTGAGTTCGTGAATGTGTTAATTCGTTGATTATACAGCAGTTAGTTCTTCTAGCAACAGTCTTACTGAAACGGGTACTACAGAAGTGTTAGCAACATCATCAGCAGACATGTCGAATGATAACATTTTTCATGAACGTAACTTCCGACTTAAAACACGAAAGCTCGTCAGGGGAAGATGAAGACGACGGCGTGAAGCCAGTTTCACCGCAAGCACCTTTAGCAGGAATGTACAAACCAATGTGAGCTAGCTAGCCAGCTAGCTGAAGTGCTTCTAGCGAGTGCGGGATCTGTTTCCGTTAGCGGAGCGAAATTACACAAAACGCATCACTGATACTAATTTCTTGCTTATAGAACGGTTGTCTAAAACTAT